AAAAAAAAAAAAAAAAAAAAAAAAAAAAAAACTACCTTAGTTTTTAATATACCATAGATCATATAATTCAGTTCATATCTACCTTACCCAACTCTCCCACCCCATTCCTCGTAATTACTTAGAGGAAGTACCTTGTTTACCACATGTGTACAAGAGTGCTTTTCAAAGTTCTTGGAAAGATTCATATTATCTTTTAATTCTATTTTCCACAAACTTCTTGAAGTACCCTCATGTAGCTGGTGTTGGATTTAAGGCTTTGCCCTTACCCCCAGTCTTATTAAAGAATTCCACAGCATAACATTGACTATTAAAAATTTTTAAAGCAGTGGATTAGAGATAGCTCTGCAAAAGAAGAATGAAATATACAGGATTTTTCATTTAAGTGCAGTCCAGATGATAAATCATTACTGTGTGATAATCTCTGATGACTTTCTTAGTGAGCCTTTGTCTGTGTGTTTTACCACCAGTACTGTCCACTTTTGGGTAGTTGTGAGAAAAACCAGGCACAGAATAGAACTTGCATGGGTATCTTTCTGTACAGATCTAATAAATTACAACTACATCTCCTAAAGAGACTTTTATACCTAGCAGCACATTTTCTATAATACCTAAGACACTTTTAGATCTTTTTTTAAAAAGACAAATCTTTTAACTAGCCTTAAAATCATTCCTTTCAAAAGATCTAACTGGGGCCGGCCCGGTGGCGCACTGCTACAGTGCGCTGCTTGGGCGGCGCTCCCGCCAAGGGTTCGGATCCCACATACAGACCGGCCACTCACTGGCTGAGCAAGGTGTGGGAGCAGCACCGAGGGTTGCGATCCCGTTGCCGGTCCCGGTCCGGTACAGGCGCGACACTGAGGGTTGCGATCCGTTGCCGGTCACGTAAAAAGACAAAAAGGAAAAAAAAAAAAGGTCTAACTGTTCTGGTCTGAAAGAACTTCTGAAGAGACTGCTTTGTCAGTATTTTTGAGTCGTCTTGATATATTAGTCATAAAACAAAGCCATGGCCTTTATTTCTGCACTCTAGATGCTGCGTTTTCCAGCTGAGATTGCACATCAGAATCACTTGTGGAGCTATGTTTGCTTCTGCTCCTAGAAATTCTGTTCAGTAGGTATGAGGTGAAGTCACTGTATCTGTTTTGTTTTAAGTTTTAGAGATGTTTCTAATAGATACACTTCCAGCTGTGTAACACTACCAGCTTACATTTGAATTGATACCACATATATTTCATATAACGTGGAGGTGTTTCATTAATACTGGTTCTGTGGCTTTGCAAAGAGGAACCCAGAAAGTAGCTTGAAGGAAATCCTAGCCATAATCAGAATTTGGAATTAAAAAGGGACCTGTCTTAACCCCTCCTCTTTACAGAGGGAAAATGCTAACCCACAAAGGCGGAGGAATTTGTCAGATTTGGTAGCAGAAGTAAATATTAGATCCAGGACTCTGACTTGAGCTCTTTCTACACTATTATATTGGACCTAGTCCCTCTCCCAGAAGTGCTTCAAAACCACTCAGTGTTCTAGATGTTGTCTTGAGCATCCCAAAGCCTGCCAGGGCAATGTGAAGTCTCAGGGAAATTAATAAAGGCAACAATTGAACAAGCAGGAACTCCTCATTCTTTCAAGTTCCTAGGCAGAAGTTATGAGTGACCTTGTAGTTAGAAATTATAGATATTACCCAAAATTCCTTTGTGACTTCTTTGTAAACATGGAAACTTTTGGCAAGAGAGGCCTAGATTTGGTACTAAAGATTGTCAAGAACAAGAAGATCGGGGCCGGCCTGTGGCTCACTTGGGAGAATGTGGTGCTGATAACACCAAGGCCACAGGTTCAGATCCCATATAGGGATGGCCGGGTGCTCCCTAGGGGAGCGTGGTGCTGACAACACCAAGTCAAGGGTTAAGATCCCCTTACCGGTCATCTTAAAAAAAAAAACAAGAAGATCATTTGTCTCATTTAAACTCATCATTAAGTATTAACACCAAGTCAAGGGTTAAGATCCCCTTACCGGTCATCTTTAAAAAAAAAAAAAAACAAGAAGATCATTTGTCTCATTTAAACTCATCATTAAGTACTGGCAGCAAGTCTAGGAAATTATGCCAGTATTATAATTCTAAGCAGGCCTGACTTTTAGCTTGTACTTTAGAAAGAAGATATTGTGCCCAGATTTACAGTTTAACCAACTAAGGGGATAATATGTTTATTAATTAGGACTAGATTTGGATGTTTAAAAGAAATCCAAATAACAGTAGCTCTGTCAAGGTAAAGATTGATTTTTCTTTTGTATTAAAAAAGTACAGAGGGAAGGGAAGTCCAAAATTGGTGTGTCTACTCCACAGCCGTTAAGGACTCAGGTTCTTCTCTTTTTTTGCTTCATCTCTTCTTGGCACTATCTTACACTGTCAAGGTGTCTGGTGATTCTAGATGGCTCCTGGACCTTCAAAGGGTCATAACTCCCACTGAAGTCAATTCCCTTGAAAGAACTTTCTAGAACCACCTCAGCAAATGATTTCTGCTTCCATCTGATTGGTCATTCCTATTATCAAGGGAAGCTGGAAAGTTATAACTGGGCAAGTTGCTATTTGCAGCAATTAGAAGTTCTGTTATTAAAGAAGGGCAGAATGGATATTGGGCAGGTAACCAACAGACTGCCACAACCTGCTTTGGAGAATATAATATTTACATTAGGAAAATAAAATTTTAGTGGCATCATAACTATTATATAGGACATAAATTAAAAAGATCCCCAAACTGCATCTACCATGTGTCTGATTAATAATAGCAATAAATCTCTAAGGTAGAGTTTTCTGCTTTGGATTTCTCAGCAGGACTCGTTGGTAACAGCTGTTACGTTTTATATATGTTAAATAGATTGAAAAATTAGTTATTCAAAACAACAGGGAAAGCAACCACTTCAAATTAAGTCCTGTTTCCTTTTGGAAATAGGGAAAATCAAAACAACCACAAAAACAATTCAATGGATATTTATTGAGCTAGCAAAATCAAAGTATACTGTATTAGATGATACAAATTAAAAGAAAATACTTAAGCTGTATAGTATTTAAGTGGAACAAGATAGACTAGTGCAATATGTGAAATAGTTAAATATACACATCATAGCAATGAATCACGTTAACTCCAGATATATAAGACCTGCCCTGGAGAGAAGGATGTATTAGAAGTATATCACCTCTGCTTATATCCTACCCGTACAAATGAAAAGGGAATGGGAAGATGGAGAGAATTTTGTTGTCTGAAAAACTTGGAGGCAGGGCCAACTGGTTAGCTCAGTTGGTTAGAGCGAAGCCTTTTAACACCAAGGTCGTGGATTTGGATCCTGATACTGGCCAGCCACCAAAAAACAAAAATAAAAAACTTGGAGGCAGAAGTAAACATTAATCCATAACACATACAACTGTCTGCATACACATGGTATACATAAATGTGTAAGATGGAAATGTCTCTGTTCTATGAGACCGGATAACAAAACAATGTTCTATAGTCTCAGTATCCACTGGCATATTTACTAAATGCTTCATATTTACAATGCACTTTAAGGAGGAAATTTATTTACACATTGCCACTTAGCTTTTTACAGCTGTGAATTTCAAATCTAGGGAAAACCCAGCCTTGTATGTAGCTAAGTGTCTGTTGACTTTTCTCCCGCTGATAGAAAACAGAAAACTACAGACTCCCCATGAGAAGAGAGTCAGTTGTGCTGGCCTGGGGCCAAGCTACCTATACCCCCTGTGACCTCTCTCCTTCAATCTGAATTCTCCATAGGACAGCAGTTGCAAACAGCTCCATATTCCCCATGAGAAGAGAGTCAGTTGTGCTGGCCTGGGGCCAAGCTACCTATACCCCCTGTGACTTCTCTCCTTCAATCTGAATTCTCCATAGGACAGCAGTTGCAAACAGCTCCATATTGGCTTTGACAGTAAGCATAGGGAGTGCTAATGAAACCAGCTAATGCAACAAAGTCTGTTAGCCTGGTCTTTGAGCTCAGTGAGCCATCCTTTGAACCTTTTATGATACTGTACTTTCGGGCATTCTTTGGGAAGAATAGCTTACGCTCTGATCCACTAATGGATCAGGGACCATTCTCTGTCTTTTATAGTAGTGAAAATACCTTTCGCACTCTTGTATTAAATAACTGCTTATTTGAACATATTATGCAATGACTTAGGCTTTCCCACCCATTATTAGTTCCCATTGAATCTGTTGTGCTCAGTTTAAGTTTTCCAGTAGGGACTATGAAAGGAAATGGAAATCTTACAAATTGCACTTTATGTTATACTCAATGCTTATGCAGTTGTCTCATATTTTGGTTTTTGTGTCTCCTACTCTGTACCCCATTTCCTCTCTGTTTTCAGGTGAAGGTCTCCCACAGGTGTATTACTTTGGACCATGTGGGAAATACAATGCTATGGTGTTGGAACTCCTTGGCCCTAGTTTGGAAGACTTGTTTGACCTCTGTGACCGAACATTCACTTTGAAGACGGTATTAATGATAGCTATCCAGTTGGTAAGTTGGCATTGCTCTTCTGGGAGAGGATAGGCCAGTCCCCGAGCCACATCCTTATGGGCCTTTTGGTGATTTACTAGCTATAGTGACATCCATTGAATTAGTACTGACAGGCTTGATGGCATTCTAGGAAGCTGGCTGGGGCAAAAATGGTTAATAACTTAGAGAAGTCACACTACATCTACAGTTTGCTCTATTTTAAGAATTTGCACCTTGGAGCAATACCCTGCCCTTAACTGAAATGGAAGCATATAATTTAGACTGGAGAGAAAGAGGATGATTAGGTGGAGTTGTACAAATGGCAAGTAATTTCTTCAGTGTTTTATTTATAGGTTTGAAACACATAACTGTAAAGTTCTGTCATGTCCTCCCTCTCTCCTCACTGTTGGATCCAAGAAAAGATTGCAGATATAATCCACTGCACTAACACTCAGATTCAGAAGTTGTGTAACCAAGAACTTGCCTTAGTTCTCTGGCCTCCAGTTCTTACAGAGACTAATAAAGGCTGAAGAGGCAATTCTTGCAGCTGCTACCAAGTTACACACCAGTACCAGCTTAAGGAGCAGCTGCGACAGTTCCTTGGAGAAGTTTGTCAGGCACTCAGGGGAAGGATACAAATAAATATTTATTTGTTTGAAATGGTGATAGTCTCACCTACTGTCCAGTAAAAATTTGGAAATGTTAGAAAATTGCCTTTGACTTTCAAGTCCAAAATTCAAATGTCTGAGCTTCTCTTTTTATACTAAATAAGGAGAAAAGCTTTGTAGATAAAAATATTTAATGAAATTTGAAATAACTTTATCACCGTTATTTTGGGTTATATTTACTTTAACATAAAAACTGCAGTCCTGTCTCTGCTGCTAGCTAGCTATGTGATAGCAGGCAGTATTAACTTCTCTGGGCCTCACTTCCTTTACTTCTACAACAGTGAGAGCTGGGTTGGGGAGTTTTGTCCAACTGAGAGTAGGGAGATGTGGACAGGAGGTGAATGTGGCAGTAGCACCTGTCTTAAAAGCCACTGACAGTCTGGTATCTTACCTAGGAATTCTTTTCTGTTAAAGCTTACTTTCTGAAGTAGCACAGAATATTTTCGTCATTTTTTTTCTTTTAGCTTTCTCGAATGGAGTATGTGCACTCAAAGAATCTCATTTACCGAGATGTCAAGCCAGAGAACTTCCTGATTGGCCGACAAGGCAATAAGAAAGAGCACGTTATACACATTATAGACTTTGGACTGGCCAAGGAATACATTGACCCCGAAACCAAAAAACACATACCTTATAGGGAGCACAAGAGTTTAACTGGAACTGCAAGATATATGTCCATCAACACGCATCTTGGCAAAGGTTTGTTTATTCTCTGCTCCCTAAAAGGGGGAGATCTTTAGAACAACTTTTTATTTCAATAACACTTCTATCCCCATTGTGCATTATAACTTGTGGTTCTTATTGCTTCACAAGGTAAGTGATTTTCAAACTTGAGAAGTTGAGATGTTAAGTTAATGACTCTCCTAAGTATCCTATGGACTACTTACGGGTTTTTTTTTTAATTTTTATTTTTTTTATTGATACATGATAGTACATATCTGTGGGTACAGCATATGGATTCTTAATTATTTATGTTTCCAAATGCTTAGTTTCTGAGCAGTATGAGTACTTGAGTTATTATAAAAAGATGATAGCATTTTAGTGAGTTTAGTAATGAGTTTGGTATTTTGTATATATGACCCTGTATATGACAGTCCTGAAAAGGAGATAAGGCTGCTGTGTGTGTTGCGGAAGGGTGTTTCACTAAAATATGGACTAAGCTTCTGTTCATTGTGCTTAGTTCTGTGCATAATTCTTTAAGAAAGAGCTTATGTCTTATTCAGTGAAAATATTTTTGCTTTACCATGAGTCTTGCATTTTATTTAGGATAAACAGTCTGCACAAATATTGCTAAAAGCTCTAATCAAGACAGAATACTTATTTGTTAGAGGAACTAGCCCAAGGGGGAGTATTTCTGAGAGAAGTCTAAGGAACAAAGGAGAGGCCAAGCAGGCAGAGACTTGAGACCCTTATCCTCTCCAAAAAAAGCTTCCCTTATCTCTTTTATATATTGGGCTTCCATTTGAAAAGAAGGGTCCTAGGATATTGAAAAAATATGTTTGAAAATCAACATCCTAGAGAGTAGACATGTAAACAGAATATTATCAGGTTCCATACTCCTAGACATAGCTAATTATATAAGGTTTTAAAATGTTAATGAACTGTTATACACTAGTAAGTATTTTAAAGAATTAATGTAATATTGCCTAAGTTGCCTCATTGAGTAAACTACACAGGTATTTAAATGAGGATTCTAGTGATATCTTCTGGTGAAGATAGTGAATTACAAAGTAGTGTGATACAACTTGAGTTGAAATCATGAATGCTGTCAGGATTTTTCAAGAACCACATGGAAATCCTCATTTAACCAAATGTGATACTTTAAAATTAAACTAGAAGGTCCTCTGTCACTTACTATCAGTGTCATCTGGACAAATTACTTAATCTCCCTGAAATTTATCTGTAAAATGAGGGTAATACTTCACAAGGATATTTTGAGGATTGAATTGATAATATATGTAAAAATGCCACACCTAACACAGGTCTCATGCACAGTGCTTAATATCCCCTTCTTCCTTCGTCATGACATATAATCTTCCTTTTTACAAGGAGACAAATTGTATCTTAAATAGTAAACTTACGGTTATTTTGTGTAGCTAACAAACTCTGGAAGTTGTCCTGATGCCTGCTTCCTGGGTTTGGCAGTTCGTGTACTGATTTTATTATTGTTGTCAGGAAAGGCGAGTACAGACAAGGGATGGGTATCCATGTTATGTTTGTGTAAGATACAATGTAATGGTTTAGAAAAAGGGATGCAAATCCTTGGCTCTTTTCACTTAATAGCTATGTGATTTTGGTCCTGTAACCTTCCTCCCTCAGCCTTAATTATATAATCTGTAAAATGGGTATGATAATAGAACCTGTAACGTAGAGTCTATGGGATAATATATATAAAGTGTTTAGCATAGTCCCTGATAATAGTAAGTTTACTCCATGTGGTAGTTATATTTATTATTTATTTAGTACAATATGTTTTAAGTATCTACTGTGCATCAGACTAGGTTCTTTCATCTTTTGATGTATTGCCATTCTGCTGGAGTTTTGAGTTTATCTTCAGACTTGGGCCTCTGAGTTCCAGAGTTTTTCAGGTCAGATCCAACCTGTCACCATATTTTGTTCTCACCACATTACAGAGAATACGTAATGGTTGTCACTGCCCTTTAAACTCTCCTGGATCTCAAACCAGAGAGGTTTTCATAGGAACTCTGTGCTATTGTTTTCAAATTTATTACATCCTTTGTGTTGTAATGAAGAAAAAAAGACTGGGAAGTATATCTCCAAATGCCTTGGAGAGAATTGCCCATTAATTTTGTGAGGAAGGAGAACAAGAGAAAAAGCTTCCTAAACCTGACATTACCTTCCCAGTAATTAAGCCCTCGTTGAGACAGCCCAATTTGTATTATTTAATGGTTGAAATTAGGGTGAGAACACTGGCTTACATTGCCCCTTTCCATCAGCAAATCAGGGATGAGGTGCATGTAAACCAAGCACATATTTCTGATAGATTGAAAGCAGGCTTTTATGGTGTTGAAGAATATTGTGTCCTCCTGGTCTTACTGGTATTGAAACCTTTCTTCTTTGAAAATGAAAATATTCTGCATGAAAAAGTGAGGGCATGTGGAAGTAATGAATTGAACAAGTGTGGAGTGTTCAATGAAGTACAGAAATAGAACATGCTTTGGTTTTTACTGTTATTTTGTTCTTGAAAGGCTCTAATGACTTAAATTATCACGGATTATTTTAAAATTTTAGTGCTGGAAAATGACTTCACATTTTCAGTCTGCCACTTCTCAGTCTACCACTTTATTTTCAGATGCGGAATCTGAGGCCCAAAGTAGTGACTTGGCCATACTTCACTAGATTACGTGAATGGAAAGGATGACCCAAGACCTGATTTAGGAAACATTGTTTTGCCTATTTTCCCATATTTCACAGCTTTTTTTTTTATGTAATAAAGTTACTTTATTACTTCTTCCAGTGAGTTTAAATTTTTTTTTATGTCGCTGTGCTCTGAAGAGAAATTTTTTTTTTCTGTAGGCCTGATCAGTGTTGAAAATATGGAAAGTTTCGCCCTCTAGTGCTCAACTAACTAAAATTCAGCTGTTTGGTGAATATTTTATTACCAAGGGGGCCTCCTGTTAGAGGAAGTGAATATAAAAATGGAGAGGCTATGTGTAGGTGTCATATGGTATGTGAAACTGCAGAGTGGTTTCTCTATCTGCCCTGCTTTGTGGTAGGCCTCAACTCACCCTGCTGGTTCTTTCTGTTTTTCATTTGTGCATCTTTAGTTTCTGTTAACAAACTGGTTTTTGTCTAATTGCTTTTTGCTTTCAATTATATACAGTATTTTATTGCAAACTTCAGACAAGCCATGTAGACAAAAGTTTCTGATGGTCTTGCTGTTTGATTTCATTCTTTTTTCTTTTTTTTTGTGACTGGCGGCACCGCGCTCAGCCAGTGAGTGCACCGGCCATCCCTATATAGGATCCAAACCCGCGACAGGAGCGCCGCTGCGCTCCCAGCGCCGCACTCTCCTGAGTGCGCCATGGGGTCGGCCCTGATTTCATTCTTTTAAAGATGACTCCAACTGAGGTACACCAACTCAGTTTTATGCTTTACTTATCTCTCTGTCAGGGTGCCTCTCCCACCCATTATTGATCACCTTTTCAAAAACCTCCTTCAAACCACTATTTAGAAATTTGCCTTTTCTTTCTTCATCTACCCTGGAAAGTACCATTCATTCTTTTTTTTTTTTTTTTCCTTTTTGTCTTTTTTCGTGACCGGCAACGGATCGCAACCCTCAGTGTCGCACCCGTACTGGACTGGGACCGGCAACGGGATCGCAACCCTCGGTGTTGTGCCCGCACCTTGCTCAGCCAGTGAGCGGCTGGTCTGTATGTGGGATCCGAACCCTCGGCGGGAGCGCCGCCGCGCTCCCAAGCAGCGCACTGTAGCAGTGCGCCACCGGGCCGGCCCCCATTCATTCTTTTTTGTTCAAATTGCCTATAATTCGAGGCAGCAGTTAAATATGTTGCCTTTCTGAATTTTGAGTTAGGTAAGTGGCTGCCTCCCTGGCTCCCTTGGGTTTTATTTTTTGCAAAAAGAAATTACAGGTTGAAGGTAGACTCTTAGTCTTGCTTCTGCAGTTTTGTTTGATAAAATCCTAAACTTGATATTTGTGGGGGAGAACCTACATAAAATGTCTGAGATGAATCATAATTGGCAAATTAGAAATGGAGACATTACTACTTGTATTCAGTCTGACCACCAAAGAACATATAGATGTCTTCTGAAATGAAGTTGTGGTTTTTTAAATGAACTATTCTGCAGTTCTTTACCATCTTAATCTTCCCACTTAAAAGTTAAGAAAAACCCAGCAACTTGTTTTAGGTAATGTAAATTCCCACAGTGCAAGGACTCTGTTTTATGTGCCCATAGAGGGCACCTTAGTAATACATTTTATAATTTTCTTAAGGTGGTTATGCGACAAGGCACAAATGGAATGGGAGTCAAGATATTATGTGTTGATGTTCTCTTATATGAAACTGAATTTTAAGTGTTAATTATAATGATGAATAAAAAGCACTAAGCATATATGCTAGGCATTCTGCAGCTTGCATCCTTGCAGGCCTAGCCAGAATGGACTGTTTTAACAGCTTTGGCTGCTTAATCTGCTGCTTACTTTCCCTGGTGTAACTGAAGGGTAATTGTAGTCCATATACTGGAAATAGTATTTCATTTAAATTATTTCACTTTCAGGAAGATTGCCAGCATTGAGTAAGGGGTGGTTACTCACTGTTTAGTGATTTGGACTTGGCTTTCATTTAGGGTTTGCTCTTTTCACTTGATATTTACTTGCTAGCAACTTATCTAGACAAAGGAAGGTACATATTGTTTTTTGGTTTTGACCTAAAATACTATCCCTGATTTAGATATACACATATTTAGTAAGCAGAGCCTTTCCAGGGAAGAAGGGTTTCTGAAGGGATTACTTGGTTTTTAACCCCTTTCTGCTTTAATAATTGCAAACATAATGTGTGATCTGTCTTCCCTTTTAGAGCAAAGCCGGCGAGATGATTTGGAAGCTCTAGGCCATATGTTCATGTATTTCCTTCGAGGCAGCTTACCCTGGCAAGGACTCAAGGTATCCTTGAAAGCACTTAGTAGAGTGCTTTGTTTCAATGCTCAGTTGTTAACGAAGGAGCTGCTGGTTTGATGTTTTCTAAGAAGCACAAAATGGAAAGATTGGCTACAGAGATGAGAAGCATGGATATTATTAGTCTACATTGTAAATGTTCGCTTGGATTTTGGGAGCTCTGTTTTATTTACATTTGTCTTCTTCCCTTTCTTAATCTTTCCTTTTTTGTTTTTGGGTGTTCCATAATCTTTTCCCTCATTCCCTCCCAGCCTTGGCTGTGCTGTTTTTCTCTCTGTGTCAGTATTCCTCCTTCACTACCATTATGTAGCAGGAGAAGTGTTCCCAGTGTGTTGGGGAATTTCTAGAACACATTGATGACAGCAGCTGCTGCACATTTTACCGGAAAGGCCAGCAGTGTGAGCCCTTAAGGGGAATTGGAAAGTATTTGTTCATCCTATGTAGGCTAAGGGCCCACCTGAACAGAAATGAAAACCCAGATTTAACAATGCTGTACAAGTATATTATTGAATAATTGCCTATTCACACAACAGCCATTCCTTGCAAAACATGTACCATTTAAATAACCTTCTTTAGGTAGGTGTCAGTATAGTGCCTACATGTAAGAATTAACTGTTAATTATTATAATTATAAGCATTATAATTACTTTGTGCCTCTGGCTGTTAGACTAGGAATTGGTGAGTTTCTGACCCATTTTAAGTCTCATTAGAGAGTTAAATGTGAGACATATTTTTTAATTGTAATTTATTTCAACATGTTAGTGTAGAAGTAAACTTAATCTGCAGCTTGGGCTTCTCCTACAACCTCTCTCTCCAGAAGGGGAGAATAATTCATTTATCTGTGATTTCTAGGACCTTGTCCTAAAAAGTAAGGCTTCTACCCATTCCCTTTGAGAAGACTTTATTTCTTCTTCCTTAAATTTCTCTCCTCACATCTCTTTGTGGTCTTCTCCTATTTATATACATCTTCTCATTGATGTTGACAACTTTCAAATAGAGTTTCACATCCTCCTTGCTCATTATATAGCCAAACAATTAATAGCATCAGTGTATTATTAATTGCTTGAAACTCTCGTAGTCCATGAATAATTATGGTAGTAGTTGTAGACCTAAAATTTCTTTAACTTACTTCAGAACATTATTGCTGAAGTACAGCAAGCCAGGTAAGCCTGACAGGAATCCCTTGAGAGCCCACCGTTAGTCCAAGTTCCAGAAGCTTTCTGTCTACATTCCTGAGTATACCAGACTTGGGCTGCTTTGAGCCACTGACATACACCAAACCTGTCTGTTAGCCTGGCCTATACCATAGATGACTTTTTTCCCTCTGGAAGCATATTGTTGAAAGGCATATTTTCACTTCTTGTTCTTTTACTATTCAGTTTCTCAATTTATATATAGTAGAACCATCTATTTATTTCCTCTACTTGAATTAGCAATATTTTAAAACTTATCTTAGAGCTAATCCAAGAGGGAGAAGGCTGAACCACTATTGAACTCTAGTGACCATGGGAGATTTTCTTATGCAAGCCACTTACCTCATATTTGTTGGTGTTTAGCTAGACTACTAAAAATAATTGCAAGTAAAACTTTCCAGAACACAGTAGATGTTTGCACATATCTTAATACATCATCTCTACTACACTTCTTATTTGTTAGTGTTAGAGAAAAGAAGTTGAAACTAACAAATCCTGCCAATTTGAATGAAACAGCCATTGTGTCCGAAAACATATTGAACCTCCTATACTTAGCACTCTTTCCAAATAACTTTCTTTCTTTACTCTCTCTACAGGCTGATACGTTAAAAGAGAGATATCAAAAAATTGGTGACACCAAAAGGAATACTCCCATTGAAGCTCTCTGTGAGAACTTTCCAGGTAGGATGTTAAAAGGCCACTCCAGCCAGCGTGACTGAAGCTTTGAAGTAGGTGGAGTCCGTGAGTTGGTATCTCTAGATAAGGGTGGTGACCAGCTAATTTACATTTCCTCTTACTGTTTTTCAGACCAAGGTAGGTTTTATCACTTTTATTTGGTTCATAAAGAAAACACCAGTGTCACATAGTCTGTAGAAATATCCCTCGTGTTGTTCAGAGCTTCCTCCCATGGGAAACATTCAGCTAATGGGCATGGCCTTTCACCTCTTTCCTAACAGAGGAGATGGCAACCTACCTTCGATATGTCAGGCGATTAGACTTCTTTGAAAAACCTGACTATGAGTATTTACGGACCCTCTTTACAGACCTCTTTGAAAGGAAGGGCTACACCTTTGACTACGCCTACGATTGGGTTGGAAGACCTATTGTGAGTATTCTCTATTTACCTCATCACCTCCTTTCTCAGACTAGTACTTCCTCACTCCTTTGCCAGTCTTACTGCTTAAATCTTTAGAAAAAAACATTCCTTTGATAGTCAACCTTACATTTACCAACCTTTTCATGGTGATGCCATAAGTTGCTCACTTGAGATAGGAGGTAGGAGTTATATTACATTTTTAAGATTATAACATGTCCTAAAATATGAGAATTTAAGCCAGTTTTTTAGAAGAAGTTTCATTTGAATGATTCAGAAGTTGGTGCTATGTATGCTGTTAAGGTACTTGACTTCTGTAGGAGTGGAACTCAGCACCATAGGGAACCTTTGGATTTGCTGTTCTGGCCACAGGTCCACAGGGCCAGAGAATATGCTAATAGATATCATTATAGGTTGTTTTTTTATTTTCAAAGGTAAGCTACTCTGCAGTGAATTGCTGAGGACCAGGCTGCCTCCCTTTTGCAGATGAGCAAATTAAGAAGACTTGAAATTGCTTGTGGAAGCTGAAAATGATTACTCCTTCTCTATTAGAATTAGAATGATGCTGTCCCTTACATGAGGTATCAACTTGGACCAGTTTTCCTTATTTGACTTTTCGTTTCGTTTTTCCAGCCTACTCCAGTAGGGTCAGTTCATGTAGATTCTGGTACATCTGCAATAACTCGAGAAAGCCACACACACCGGGATCGGCCATCACAACAGCAGCCTCTTCGAAATCAGGTATATATTGATCCTTCATTCTTTCAGACATTCCCCTTCTTCGTGGCTAATTAAAATCCAAATTCTCCAGCTTCTCAGCTTCAGTGTATCTACTGAAATTAAAGACAAAAGACTTGCCATTTCTCACTGGTATGGTATGAGAGACATTCTAGCAACTGTCAGGGTGTGTATAATTGCACTGAGATGTGGCCGGATGCCTTATATGAAGGATTTGGACTAAAGAATCTGGGCCTGTCAGAGTTTGTTGGCTGCAGGGGAAACTGGCTATGAGTTAGGATGTGAGGCAGTCTGACACAGACCTGAAGGACCTGCTGGATGTGCAGGATGTACCAGGTATCCCACTTTGGGTTTCGTGTACAGTTCAGTCTGTAGCTGTTGCCAATTCTGGTTTTTCATTGCTGGATAAGAAAGGTGGGTAATTTGGACTTAGAGCTGACCTGAGCATGAACCAAAACCTCCATACCACCTCTTATCCTCATGTGCAGGTTAATTCTAGAGCTAGCCAAAATCTGAGATGGACCTGCAGTGAAAACTCAGGTTTGCTTTAGGCCACTCCAGAGAAGGCCATGTCATTTGTTCTTCAGTTTTCATTGTTTGAGCAGCTAGTAATCTACATGAGGGACTTCTTTCAGCCTAAAGATAGAAGAGGCAAACACACACAAAAAAATCAACATTTTTTAATTTTTTAACATTTAACATTTTTAAAAAGGGCTAACTGGGAAGTAAATATGACAGGGGATTTTTATCTTTATTCCTATATATTGCTAAAAGAAAAATGGAGACCAGTAGATAAATAAAGAATAATAGGTCTGGCCAGTTAGCTCAGTTGGTTAGAGTGCAGTGTTGATAACACCAAGAAAAGGGGTTCAGATTCCCCATACCAGCCAGCCGCCAAAAAATATATAAATAAAAAGAATAATAAACTATATATTTTTAAATCATTATCACATATCAAATTAGCTTGTTCTCCTTCCTCCTGACCTTACTTTTTAATATTAATAGACATTTTTAGAAGAACATGCAAAAACACATATCATCTCATAGATGCACATGTGCAAGTACATAGGTTAAGAACAGTATATACAGGGCTTTTGAAGATGGCGTCGGGTCTGAGCGGCCGCGCCAGGAGACAGCGCGATCCTG